GTTTTCTGCAGGTTTGCGAACAGGAGGACAGCACTTTAGCTGAGCTACAGGGAAGAACCCTTAATCTCCTTTTATTGTCCTAGTAGGATCATACTGTACTGTTTTTCTGCCTTCCATAATGTAGTCTTAGTATGACTTATGTCTCTGTCAGTTCATGGATATTCTGCATCTTAGCTTTAGAAGGGGTGATTTTGTTTTCTATCAAAGTTCGCAAATCCTTCAATTCTTTTCACTGGCTAGAGCAGGGGTGTCAAACTCAATTTCATTGAGGGCCACATCAGCATTGCGGTTGCCCTTGGGGGGCGGGGTGGGTGTGTCCAGAGTGGGTGCGGCCTACTGGGTGGGCGTGGATGGAGTGGGTGTGGCCTACTGGGTGGGCATGGCCAGCTCTACATCGTTCGCATCAAGGGTGCCTGTGGGGGCTTGGGCAGGAGTGGGACAGATCTGAGGGTCTCTGGCAGAAGGGGGTGGGACCGGGGCAAGCGCCAAGGCATGGTGCATTTCTTCATTCCTCACAAAGGGTGACACCTCCCCAGCATGCACCCAGGGGGCGGGGCCGATGCGGCAGGGGCTGGTTCCTCGCTGTTTCTAGACGGCCTTGTGGAGCTAAGACTGAATGCACTTCAGCATAGATGGCCACTGCAAAATTGTACATTGGCTCCTGGCCGGCCTGGGCCAGGGCCAGGGCCAAGGCAGCGGGGGCCATTCCCTCACTGTTTCCAGGATGGCTTCGCGGGCCACATGAAACCACTTCGCGGGCCACATCCGGGCCCCGGCCTTGTGTTTGACATGTCTAGGCTAGAGGAAAATAGGAGTGAATTTTTCTACAGCTCTACTGTTTTTTGTTCCCATAAGTGTATATATGCACCCAGAAACACACACAATCTGTCATTAAACTAAGTTAGATGTACCAATAAGCCTCAAGGCAACGCCTAGGAGGACATGGAGCAAATATACTGAGAGCTGTTCTTTGGATCCACTTACTGACACAGACAGTGGAGAAACTGAGAGCCAAGAAAGAAAACCAAGGTTAGCCACAGGTGTGCAATGAGCTATCCCCCTCTTTCATTATAGGAATAGTCGGTAGAAATAGCAAATTTTGCTCTAATTGGAAAGACTTCTGTTCAATACAAAGAAAGGGGAAAAAAAGAGCCTCGCTTCCTGTGTGTCCTAGCTTCCAAAGCTAGGATAAAGAGACAAGGCACCTTCAACAATTAAGCAAGCTCTCACATGTTTGGACAGAGATTCACAGTGGTTTTTAATAAGCTGTATTTATTGCTCTGAAAGAAACAGCAGGACTGCCTTATTACCACTTGACAGGCATGGCACTGAAACCCAGAGCTTGCTCACTTTATCAAGCACTACGAATACTGGAAGCTTAGCCACTGGTATTAATACTTAAAAGAGCACTTTTGTCAAATCTCTCCCCAATTTCTCCTCTGCTTGCAACAGTGTGCAGAAAAAAACAACACACCACAGTAACTACCAAAAGAACCCACAGTAAAAACTAACACATCTTGGTTTCCAGCCAGGATAAGCCAAGGATAATATATTTTTAGTTTGTGGGAGGAGGTCAGGAATAGAGTATCTCTCTATCTCCCACGTAATTTGCATGAAAGCATTTTTTAAAAAAGTAATATTCTGACAATCCCTTGTGTCATAACTCACAGGATGCCTTTGATTCTTACAATGTAAGGTAGGAGGGAGAGTCACAGAGTTATTTCTACAAAAGCTCCCGGAGCTTATGCAGGTTTGACTTGGTGTAATGAAATATTGCGATGCTTCAGCTCAAGTTATGGAACTCTAGGTCAATACAACATGCTAACTACAACAATCTATGAAAGCACCTTTGATTCCAGTTTTGCTTTTTATCTTGTAACTTGTCAGGCACCTATCTTTTTAAAACAAGGGTGAAAATTTGGGAGGGGGGAGGAAGAAATTGTTCTATGGCACTAGCTGGAGGCACTGGTAGCAAGCACCCTCCCACATTAGTTAGCAAGAGCTGTCTGCTGGCACACAAGCACTGTGCCTGGGTGAAGTACCCACAGGCAATCCAACTCATCAGTGCTGACACCTGTACAGTATTCAGAAACATTCCCAGGAATGGGAGGAACAACTCCCATCCCAAATAAAGTGCTTTCAAATTAGAGCACGGAGCCAAGCCAGACTCCTTTAAAACTCTTAATTTGTCACAAAAATGTGGTTCTGTTTTACTGCTACTTTTGACATCTGCATTTGATGGGGAAATGAAATAAGCACCGGTCAAACAAGAACAAATGCAGCTCACAACAACAGATGGCTAATTGTGTAGTCTAACATGACATTTATCTAGCACGATGTCAATGCTAAATAAGTGTCAAGATAAGTGTAGTGATTATCTGATCATTTTTTTTGTGTGTGTAGCAGAAGTTCTTGCCTAACAGGTACTGTATTGATGCAATAGCATAAACATTAAGCAAATGAGAGGAATGCCTGTTAACTAGACTGGATCTTGGCATCAGAATTTTCATTCAAGCTCTGAAAGACTGGGGCCTTTCACAGTATCATTGTGAAACCATTTAGGAGTCTCAGTTCAACACGACATGTATAGCTGAATTAGTTTCTCTGTCCAAACCCTACAAAAGCATAATTATTAAAGCTGAACGTTTATTAAGTAAGTCAGTGTCATGAAAATCATTCAATAGGATGCTCTGGATCTGCTTTTTCACGATGCAACTGCTTAACATTATTTTTTTTAAATGGATTTTGCCCGTCTGACGTGAACATCCAGGAAGTGGATGCTTTAAATCCCAACTCCTTGAGAGGTGCAAGAGACTCGGACCTAGAGAACAACCGTACATGTCCCAACACAGTGGAACAACTTGCCCTTAGAGGTATCCCTGCCCTCTAGCTCTCAGCCTAGAGACGATATTCCAGGTGGTGCAAAAACTTGGGTTTAGAAATTTCAAAATTATAGTGTATATGCATAATTCATTGCCATTATTTCAAATTTTTGTAAGGGGTGCGAGAATATATCAGAAGCGTTCTAGGGGTGCGGTGTATTAAAAAGGTTGGGAACCGCTGGCAATGAAGGCCATTCTCTTAAGGGATTTTTAATTCTGAATTTTAATGATGAAACAGGCTGCCAGGTTTAGTACAACCTTATTTTGATTTGGTTTTATTGTGAAAGGTTTGTGGATGTTATGATATTTTATGGAGTTTGATACTGTATAACTCCTCAGAATTTGGGGATTATATAAATAATTGCAACAAGCAAGTACATAAGGCTGCTTCAAAGCTATTCTTGTAGTTCTTTCAGCTTTTGCCAGGATAACCAGTGAGATGAAATGTCTGCTGCTTCCCTCCATTAGCGAACTCAGGAGAAATATCTTCTGGACATGTAAATGCACATTTATAATGCTTTGGGAGAGCCTTGAAGCAACCATGCTGAGCCTTTGAGTAGCCACGGCTCTTTTGTGGCTTCAATATGTAGTTCTACTTCAAATAATTTGCTCAGGGCTTTTCTAAACTGATTTTTCTTGACGCTTTCTCACATCAAGTGGGCTGGTCTATGATCAAGGTTTTTGTATCTTTCAACTGATCATCATATTCAAGCAGCGATTCCTGGATGAATTGGATCAGCATGATGACTTTTGGAAAAGTGAATGAAAAATGCACTGACCCTAGAAAAGCAATGGTAATTCCTGAGGACAACAAGGAGACAGCACACAGGAATCTGGCTCAAAAACAATAACTGTGAGAAGGACCTTGGAGTCCTAGTGGACGATGACTTAAATATAAGCCAGCAGTGTGCGGCAGCAGCCAAAAAAGCTAATACAATCCTTGGTTGTATAAACAGAGGCATAGAATCAAAATAGAATAGAATAGTATCACTTTATAGAGCCTTAGTAAGACTACACCTGGAATACTACATCCAGTTTTGGTTACCAGATTACAGAAAAAGATGTCAAGACTTTGGAAAAAGTGCAAAAAAGAGCAACTAAGATGATTAAAGGCCTGGAGACAGAAACATATGAAGAACGATTGCAGGAATTGGCGTATGGCTAGTCTAGAGAAAAGAAGGACTAGGGGTGACATGATAGCAGTATTTCAGTATTTGAGGGGTGCCACAAAGAAGAGGGGATCAACCTATTTTCCAAAGCACTAGAAGGCAAGACAAAAAAAACAATGGATGGAAACTTATCAAGGAGAGAATCAACCTGGAATTAAGGAGAAATTTCCTAGCAGTGAGAACAATTAACCAGTGGAACAGCTTGTCTTCAGAAGTTGTGGGTGCTTAAAAGACTGGACAGCCACCTGTCTGAAATGGTATAGGTTCTCCTACTTGAGCAGGAGGTTGGATTAGAAGACCTCCAAGGTCCCTTCCAGCTCTATTCTGATTGATTCTGATTGAACTATAGAGCACAGGAGGACTTCCCTATTGCTCCTTCCCCTCCCCCAGATTAGTATCACTCTCTCCATTCCACTCCCACCCACCAGCCATCAATGCCATTGTATTCCCTTGGGCAGCCTTTTCAGGCCCGTGCTTATTAACTGAAGCAGGCTGTGACAATTGCACCAGCTGTTCACCTCTTCTTGCCCTCTGTCAGCGTCCTCCTATTTAGCGATTGGCTTCTTGGACTCAATCATGCTGGGACCACCACAGCTCTCTCTCTCTCTCTCTCTCCACTCCCCCCCACCACCATGCTTCTGTGTTTAGAGCACTATGAATACTAATAGCTGGGGATACCCAACAGCTTACAGGAACCGAACATTTTGAGGCAGCCATCATGACAATGACTCCACAATCAAAAGCGTCTTTTACTTCTTGAATGTTTCATGGAAAGTACCCTCTTCTTCCCCTAGCAGCAAGATCTCCAACTACAGATAATGGCATGTTACCCGGGGGATACCAGTGGGAAAATTGGCATAAAATGAGCAGAGTGCTTCCGAGATCCCAAGAGGGTTGCTATGCTATTTCAACACTAGGCCTGGTGCAGTTCAGCACAAAATAATCTTACCTTGTTATAATAGTGCAGGTGGACAGTGTGCCACTGTCCATCGCTCACACCTCCTGGGATGAATGGGGCAACTGTGCTTGTGGTTTCTCCTGAAGGAAAGATGAAACACCGCTCAGGTTTTAAAAATAAAATCTGAGGAGAAAAAGAGTAATTTCCCCATCGTTTTACAAAGATTCTGAGAAGCAGTGAGGGCACCAGAGTTATAGCATGCTGAGCGAAGGAGGTAAAGAATATTGCTAAAGATTTAGAAAAATAAGGTACAGAAAGTAAAACCTAAGGTGGAGTGTTTATAAACCAAAATAAACTGACAGATATACTGGAGAGCAATCATACCTGCTGAGAAAGTAAGCTGAACTTGCTCTTGAACGATTTCCAATGCAACAAAATCATGCCGTTCATTGAAACGCCCGTTGTAGAGGAGAAGACCATCCCGTTCCTTAGTGGCAAACCTGCCCAAAAAGAAGAGAAAGTCGAGCTTCATTCCAAGCATCCCAATGCCCATTGCAAGATGTTCATAAGAACTCAGGTGATTTGTAGTATGTGAATTTTTGTCTGGCCAGAAATCTTGCAGCTTCTAATGCCTTATGAAATGAAAAGATGAAATGAAAAGAATTTAGAAAACCTCCCAGAATGGATTCCCACGCAAAGCAATATAAATTGTATCCTGAACTGTTATCACTGGATCCCATATACTTACAAACAATTTTCCTCTGAAAACATTCACACAAAGAGAGAGTTCATATACAACATTCATAAATACATACAATTTACCATGTACAAATTTTGGGGACATCCTGCCTCCGAACAGAGGAACTGTTGGTTGCTAAGTGCCATGGTTTACCTAAGGAAGCAAGCTAGATTTAACAAAGGCATTCCTTTGTGATTAGACATGTAGTTCCTTCATACAAAGGAGTGCCCAAAAGGCTGGCTCTGCTGTGAGTCATCCTGGAACTCCCCCCCCCCACTCCCCACCTCAAACCTCCATTCATTCACTTTGGTTGCATTGTGTGGCTGTATATAAATAAGGAATAAGAGTGAAGAAAGAGATGACGATCAACATGAAATAACAATTTCTCCAATGTCAGTGGGAAAAGTTCTGGAAGCGATCAGCCATTTGAAATGGTTAATGCTGTGCTGGGAATATTATGAGAATTTGATTACTACTCCCAAAATCAAGACTACAGAGTCACATGTTGTTACTGGGCACATAATGGCAAGGAGTATCAAGTTTCAGTCATAGTCCTTAAAGGAAATTCCGAGATAGCCCAGGATATTTAAAGTCTTGAGGAAGAGGCCAGAAAGCACGGCATCCAGGTCAAGTTCAAGAAATGGGACAAGAAGAGTAAGATTTTTGTTAAAGTCAAGCAAGAAACCGGGGTAACAGAAATAGGGATTAGTGGGCAAATTGATCCAATAATATCCAGAAAATGATATAGTTGTTTTGGAAGAAAATTACGCCCTCATAACTTGGGGGAAAGTGCTCAGTATAAATTAAAAGGTTTTGCTAGCTACTGATTAAAGCTTTGGTCAAAAAAATCTAGAAACTGGGTTTTGCTTCATATATCACACCTTAACATGTAGCCTCATACCTTCATCTATTCCTTATTTCATTAGATGGCTAGGAGGAGAAAATACACTGATGGTTTGCTTCAGGAAATACAATGGGATGTTCAGTTGATTTACAGTACACTACTGCTTCTGGGTGATCTATAGTGAAACTTCCACTTTGTTAATGTAGCGGTCAGTTGTGTGTGCTAATGACCACATCAGCAAACACAAAATTCCAAAATATATATTTAGACAAAAGATTCAGATACTCATTAACTTCCATGTAATTATGAAATCAACCTCTACCAATCTATTTCAACTTCAAACTTGCTAGGATGCCATTTTTAGGTGCCTCTTTATTGCGTTACTAGTGGTGGAAGATTTTTAATTATTTTTTTTTGCAAAAGATTCTCCTTTCCAAATTCATGATCATGTCTGCTTTAATGTAACGGCTGGGTCTCCAGAGCAAATTCAGCTGATCATCAGGCACTCAAAGGTTGCTTACTATGATTCAGTCTAAAGAAATGGAAATAAATCTTCAGAAAACCACTATAGTTAGGATGATCTTTTCTTTAATTAACTGCACACTGACATATTAATTGTCTATAGTCAGAATACTGGGTGTCTTTTTTTTTTTATTTCTACAATCTTCTGGTAGAACAAAGAACACCCATTTACTAGTTTTAATCCTTATAGCTTCCTGGCACCAGATCAAAAATGTAATCTGGTAGAAAAAGGTCCCAACAAATAAGCTTAGAGGTGTCAAATTATTCCATCTTCTCTCTTCTGATAAATATAATGAGAATTATATCATTGATTATTTCATGTAGGCTTTCATCAGAGTATGTTGCTTACTGCTACTCATTCCTAGAATGTACCATTTCTAATTGCAAATGGGAAAATAACACATGAATGCTTCTCAATATAACAACCGGAATTACTTATGTATAAGTTGGGCAGCTATATAAATTTGTTTAATAAAATAAATAAATATAAAACTTATAAAAATGAAAAGTATTCTCTTAATTTGTTATGATGGAGGCTAGTCTTCTCCTGATGTGCTATTATTCTCATTCTCACCTTCTGTATTTATTGGCAACTGTATATAGGCTGATTTATCAAAAAAATACTAAAACGGCATCCATACAAGTCAGTTAATATGTTTCACATTTTAGCTGTCAGTGATACTTGTAGACTATTTCTGAGCATGGAAGCCTTTAAAGGCTCCCAATGATTTAAAAAGCATAGATGTTAAGTAATAATGAATTTTTAAAATAAGCAGCAGCTCAGAAAAGTTAGAAAACACAAACTATACAAATTATGGGTCTTCGTTAATTTCTACCACTTTGAATTCTACTGTACCTACTTTACACATTTCATGATCGGTACTCATACATTGAAAAAGATACACAATGTTCTCTGTATAAAACTACACATCCACACCTTCATTTAAGATATTAGCTCTTTACTACTGGTTCTGAATGTTTCATTTGCCCTGCACAACCTTGTGAAGTAGGAAAGGTGCGCCTACTAATGAAATTTAGAACCCCACTCCTAAATTGCCATTCAGAAAATTGAAGGTGGTCAATTAATATCTTGACAGGCATAGGGAACCGAGAGTTGCTGCTGGTTAGCTAAAGCAACTTTTGTAAATATTTTAAAAAAACATATTATAATTGGACACAGCCAACTGCCAATTATCAATTCTGCATGGCTGCAAGTTTTTCTTTTATTATTGCTACTTCAAATACACACTTGTCTATTCTTTAACAACAACATGTTTATTCCCCAACATTCATACTTAGAGTCAAAGGAGCAGAAGCATATTCTGTTCTGATACCTGCAAATAAACTTGTGCTCTTAAGTAACTCACTGGAATATGTGAAATTACACCTGCTCAGCATATTCTATTTTATTAAGGTTGCTAAAGGGAATTTAGTTCTGATCTAACAAGTGAAGGATAGAAACATTTTAAAACATATATAAGGTTGGTAAAGGGGAAAAATGTGTACTTCATATCTGGTCAACTAATAGTAAAACCGTTTAAATTTTTAAAAAAAATCTAATTCCCTAGGTGAATTATTATACAGGTAGTTCTCAACTTACGACCACAACTGAGCCCAAAATTTCTGTTGTCAAGGAAGCCATTTGTTAAGTGAGTTTTACCCCGTTTATAAACTTTCCTGCCACAGTTGTTAGGTGAATGAATGCAGTTGTTAAGTTAGTACCAAGGTTAAATGAATCTGGCTTCCCTATTGACTTTGCTTGTCAGAAAGTCGCAAAAGGCGATCACATGACCTCAGGACACTGCAACTGTCATAAATATGAGTCAGTTGCCAAGCATTCTTAATTTTGATCACGTGACCATGGGGATGCATCAATGATAATAAGTGTGACAAACTGTGATGAGTCACTTTTTCAGTACCTTTCTAATTTTGAACGGTCACTAAACAAACTGTTGTAAATCGAGGACTATCTATAGGCAAGAATAGAAAGTTTCTCACATCAGGCATCAACTATTCTTGTTTTTGTCTCTTACCACGATCTATTTTGCAGCGGTATCTGAAATCAACGCAGAGCCCCACGCAAGAGGCTCTTCTAGATTACCAAGTGGCTGAATTATTGGAGCAACCCCTTCTGCAGCAGGTGGGAAATGATAACCCACAGAAACAGTGAATGGTGAGCCTGTCAGGGCTGAAAAATACAGTTCCCATCTGAGCAAAGCAGATCTTCCTTTCCCTTGTGACCACACACAGAATTGCTCTACTGGGTAGATTCATTTTAGACTGTCAGCACTTGGCAGTTTCCCCCCATTTCCCCCCCCACACACACACACATACACAGTCCCAGAGGAAAAAATGCGTGACAAATATACAGAGCAGAACTGGAGATCACTGACCCTTTACTGGGGACAAAAAGGCTTTGACTGGCTGGCTTCTTTGTGCTAGACTAACAAAAAGGATGGAATTGGAATAATTATGGGTGGTAAGGCCAGGAAATGGGGAAGGCTCCATGATCTCATCAGAGGAGCTCAAGCAAATAACATCCTTACAACAAATAAAGTACTTATATGCCCATTTACACTGAAAGGGCAAAATGAGAAGTGAGATACACAAATCCCAAAAATTTTGCTAGGCTTTGCTCTAGTAAAAGTTCCTTTCTAGCTTAACACTATTGCTAAAACAGAAAGAGGAAGACATTTGACTATTCAACAGGTAGCGCAATGCATCTGAAAACTGAACTTCAGATTCAAGAAACTAAACAGTCGATAAGGTCCAGATGCCTGTGATAGCCCTCAGCCTCCATATACATAAGCATACACAAATCTAGTATAGGCAGCAATTGTTGGAAGTGGGGAGATTAACCAGTTCTTCAAATATAATGTTACAGAGCTAAGCATTTGCAAATGGTAATGTGTCCAGATGGACCATCCCCTCTTAAATGTGTTTAAAATTGTAGTCTTAAAAGTTTTGATACAAACTTCTGCTTCATCTTCTGCATGTTTTTTTTCATGCTGAGATTTGAAAAGTTATGTCAGACAAATTAAAAAGACTTGAATGTGTACATACCGTATGTGTCAGGGGAATCTCCTTGATCTAGACCAGGGATAGGCAACCTTGGCTCTTTTATGTCTCGTGGACTTCAACTCCCAGAATTCCTGAGCCAGCCATGCTGGCTCAGGAATTCTGGGAGTTGAAGTCCACGAGTCATAAAAGAGCCAAGGTTGCCTACCCCTGATCTAGACTCTTACCCACAGCAGGAAATTATATAAGTAAGCACTGATACTGTTACACTTGTATAGGTCCATCTCTGAACAAATGAGAACTATGTATCACTTATACTTTTCTAATTATATTTTCTGTTTAAAATCTTTTTTCTCAGGGCTTCATATTCTGCCCATTTAAAAAAAAAACTTTGAGAATAAAATAGATTTTTAAAAAAAACAATGATAGTTACGAGGGTCACCCTGCTGGCTCATAGTCCAGAATGTCAGGAAAATTTAAGGAAGGACAAAATAATGTAAATATAAATGTAAGGCCATATTGGACTTCTCTTTTTCCTAAGCCAAGTACTTACGTGAGAACAATGGTGAAATGGAAGCGTTGACGCAGCCCCTTAAAAGTAAGGAAGGAGTGGCCTGGGAAACTGCGGGTACTCATCTGACAGTACGGCTTCTCATAGTCTCCAGAAAGGCAGTCACACTTGAAACCACCCACCAGCAGGTTGACACAGGTGCCACTGTTCTTGCAGACACCAGGGGTACAGCGGCCCAAGCGGGAATTCACTTCACAATTCTCTCCTGTAGCAGAAGCAAAGAATATCTATCAACCAACATACATATTCTCCACCTGCCTTCTCCATATTTCTCAAAATTAGTTAACATTCAAAGCTACTCCAAGCCCAGTTGAATTTCTTCCCACAAATGCATTTGAAGCAAAGCATTTGGATTCGGTGGTATAATTATATATACTACTAGTAGTATTTATACCATTTATAGGCTACATCACTCGTGACTCTGAGTGGATTACAAATTAAAAATACAAAATACAAAACACAAAAGGAAATCATGAGAGGCTCTCAAAACAACATACAGTATGACCACATCATCCAGCAGGGGCTCAACCTTCACTCTATCCACACCCTGAACATAATCAGAGTGGGAGACATCTGGATTTCTGAATGAGTATCATTCCAGAAGGCAGCCACATTTTCTGAGTCCCACATGACAATACTGCTTAATCAATAGAGGGATAGACAACAGAGGGATAGAATCAAGATCACATGAAGTATTAATACCACTTTACAATGCCTTGGTAAGGCCACACTTGGAATACTGCATCCAATTTTGGTCACCACGATGTAAAAAAGATGCTGAGACTCTAGAAAGAGTACAGAGAAGAGCAACAAAGATTATTAGGGGACTGGAGGCTAAAACATATAAAGAACAGTTGCTGGAATTGGGTATGTCTAGTTTAACGAAGAGAAGGACGAGGGGGGACATGATAGCAGTGTTCCAATATCTCAGGGGCTGCCACAAAGAAGAGGGTGTCAAGCTATTTTCCAAAGCGCCTGAAGGCAGGACAAGAAGCAACGGGTGGAAACTAACCAAAGAGAGAAGCAACCTAGAACTAAGGAGAAACTTTCTGACAGTTAGAACAATTAACCAGTGGAAAAACCTACCTCCAGAAGCAGTGAATGCTCCAACACTGGAGGTTTTTAAGAAGAGACTGGACAGCCATTTGTCCGAAATGGTATAGGGTTTCCTTCCTGAGCAGGGGGTTGGACTAGATGACCTACAAGGTCCCTTCCAACTTTATTATTATTATTATTATTATTATTATTATTATTATTATTATTATTATTATTATTATTATTATTATTATTATTATTATTATTATTATAGGACATGGAGCAGACCCACTCTCCCTGAATGCACTGGGTAACCAAAAACATCCACAGATAAGTGGTCCCTCAAAAAAAAAAGGCTTTGAATTACCCCCAGAAGCCAACTGGTAACCAGTACTGCTCAAAGAGTGATTATACAGAAATAATGAAGCATGCCCAACACTGTCCAAGTTATTGCAGTTTGAACCTCCAAATGCTCTTCAAGGACAGCCCCAAGTAGAGCACATTACAGTAATCTACTTGTAAGGTGACTAGTGTGTGAGTGACTGTCTGAAAGCCTTCAGGTTCAGGAAAAGTTGCCAGTGATGCATTGGGTACACCTGTGCAAAGATCCACTTGGCCATAGAGCAGAAGCTGTGAGTTCCAGTATAACCAAGTTGCACACCAGTCTTGAGTGGTGAAATGCAATCCCATCCAAGATCAATAATGAAAAATCCTCAGACCTAGATGACTCAAATATTTGCAGCTACTCAATCTTGTCAGAACTGAGCCTGCATCTGTTCCTCCTCATCCAGATATGCAGAGCCTCTAGACACTGGAACATGACTTCAATGGCATTGCTTAGTCAATCTGGAACAGAGATGTATTATTGGATGTCATCATTGTTATGATAATATGTGATCCATTATTATGATAATATGTTACCATCATCCAATGGTTTCATGTACATGTTAAACAGATGGGGGTAAGAGTGGTAGCCCATAAGTAAAAGGCTGTAGGCTTCATCTCTCATTCATGTTAACATCTGGAACCAGCCACAAAGAAAAAAGAGACCCCCCCCCCAAAAAAAAAACTTGCAGCCAGTGCAGAAGGCTATTGTGATTAAAATGATTAAAGACATGAAGGAGCACAAGGAAAGATGCAGTACTCTCATCCTGGTTCACCACAGGTCATCAAAAAGCACACCCAATATTGTCTCCATAATGTGATCCAGCCTGAAACTCAACTGAAATGGGTTCAGATAATCCATCTTCTCAAATATCCTCGGATGCTAAAGCCCAATCTCCTTTTCCACAACCTTTCCTAAAAAGGGATGGTTGGAGGCTGGATGGAAATTGTCTCAAATCTTATTGGGGACAACCCACGGCCTCCTTTAAGGCCGAGGGCACAACTTTCTTCCTCAAAAAAGCGGACGTCACCATATTGACTCAATAACTACCATCGTCCCACTTTCAAAGCCAAGGGGAAATATTTTATTTTCCCAAGACTCTTAAACTCTAGTTTTATGCTACTTTCAGCTGTTCTTTTCTATTGCCTGTTTTGATACTATTACAATTCTGATTGTTCATATTTGTGAGACTGCAGAAATTATTTTAATGTAATTTAAGGTTCTGACTGTTCTTTTTGATTGTTCTACATAAGCAGCAAGACTAAAAATGATGTCCAACTTCTTAAGATAATTTAACATAACTCTGAAAATTAGCAATGGAATATCAAATTTCCACTTGATTCTCAGTTACCAGTTTTAGGCAAATAGTGGTTGGGATTTCCCACCAATTAAGGCAGAAAATATTTGGCACAGATAAATAGTTAAATAATCAAAGTTATCATTTTAGCACTAGAACACAAGAGCAATCTCAAAAAAATCTCTGGTCATATCATATTAACCACTCGCATGTTGGTGCAAGCTGAATTAAAACTTGATTAGAAAACCTAGCCCCAACAAGTCTGATTCTCCAGAGTTTACTCTTCAATTTGCTTTAGTGAAAAATTTCATTAACCAAAAGATTTAATGTGGCAAATATCTTTGATATATTCTATCAATATGCATGCAGCTGCTTTTGTTAATAATGGAACCTGCTTAACAATGGGATGTCTTCAACAAAATTATGTTCGCTTCCAAAGCATGTGTTCTAAACAAGCAAATCTGTTCCCTATATTATTAGCAATCTGAAGGAGTGATTTCAGACAGATTTATGTGAATATTTTTATTACTTTAACTCTATCTGTTGTTCATTTCTCAGTTTCTAGATAATGTAGAAAAGCTGAATTTACCAGGACTAGTCTTTGATGGATACAAATAAACTAAGCTGATAATTTAATGTCACTTTTTCTCAAGAATTTGTATACTGAATGCTCTTGTATTGGAAACAAAGAAGACCCAAGTTCTGATTTTAAAACATTTGCATTCGTTTGTTATAAATTTCAAGTAACCAAAGCCGCGATTCATCTAAACTAAATAGTTGAAACCCAGACATGTTTTTGTCCCCACCAGCTTTTTGTTTTACACCCTTCCTTTCAACCTTGTTTTCAGATTTCCTTGTTTATTTTTCATTACCTTCAAAGGTTTCTTCTGAATCCTAACCAGATTGCCAACCTTAACTTCCCTCCTCTCTCTCGTTTCTGTTTTAATTACTGGGTTCAGACAACAACAGTTTCATTAAGATCCATTGAAAGCTAACTGGTTTAGCCACATGACCTATTTTACACAAACATTCCTCTATTTGAATGCTCCAGAATCCAGACTTTTAACTATCATTATTCCCAACAAAGGGAACCTAGAGTGCTATGGTCCATGGGGCTGAGAAGAATTGGACACGGCTTAGTGATTGAACATCAATGACAACAACATTCCCAACCAGTATAGTCAATATAGCTACATCTCCTCACATATCTTGAGCATATCAGGATCTGTCCCTAATCTGTTCTTTCAGGTTTTCCGATGATAACTGGGTCTATCCATCTTGCAACTGATCTTTCTTTCTTCTCTTTCCTGCCACCTTCTTACCTTGGAGCCTTTTCCTGGAATCTAGATCTTCATATAACATGTCTGAAGTAGGATAATTTGAGCCTAATCATTTGTTCTTCAATGCTTATCTCATAAAGCAATATAAAATTGCTATTTTGATCTCAGGGACATATTTGCACAGGATCCTGCAGAGTTATATACTTTAGATTGAACTTACACATTTATACTTGGCAGTAGTTGTGAGTGCTCCAACTTTGGAGATTTTAAAGAAGAGATTGGACCATTTGTCTGAAATGGTATAGGGTTTTCTGCTTGAGCAGGGGGTTGGTCTAGAAGACCTCCAAGGTCCCTTCCAACTCTATTATTCTGTTTTTGCAAACAAGTATGCAAAGGTCTGAAGTCTTAGTGCCACTTCAAGAGGGTTCCCAAAAGAATTGTGTTAACTTGCAATCCAAGAAAATCCTTATGAAGATTTTCAAGATGCTTTGTCCTAATATTGCAAACCAAACCAAATGCATGTATCCAATTCTCCTCCAACACCACAAAAGCTAAGATTGTAGGAGTTCAAAAGTTCAAATTTCAAGAGGAAAAGCAAGCCAATGTTTTTCTGTAAGTCCTAGCCAAATAATAATAGAATGTATTAGAGGAGACTTGATCCTAATCATCTGAGCAACATTATGGGCTCTACCCCAACAATCGGATAACGATTTTTATTTGTAAAAGTGTTATTTTAAATAATAATAATAATAATAAAAAATATAATTTTGGAAGTTGTAGTTTTTCTCATTGGAACAAATTCTAGATAAATGAGCTCCCTTCTATGTATCTGACCTTTCTTTTTCCACTTTCTCTTTTTAAAAATCCAGCTCCATAGTTGTGGCAAAACATGCTAAAAACCTTACATCAGGAAATTATTCACATGGATGTAAATCTCTACTCAAAGATTTAAGGCTACAAAGAAAAAAAACATCAACATGAACTCTGACCCATAACACCTAAATTGATGTGAATGCCGTGCTAATCATTATGAATAGCACGATTTTATGGCAGACAGAAAAGGCCCTGATTTATTACATATCAAAGCTCTGAAAGTTAAGAGACACATCCTACTTTTTGAAGAAGCTGTATACTTTAAAGTGGATGAAATAAAAACCGAATGTTCTACTCTATGTGAATGTATAAAGGTATGTTATGCTTTTAAAAAT